CGAAGAGCTCTACGAATGAGCAGTCTAATACAGAACAGAATACGAGCCCTTCTACCCAATCATCAGCGATAAATACTGACAAACTTTTAACAATTTGATTTCAGAGTTTTTAACCTGTTCTGTCCTTGTTTATAAATATACACACTTGTCATTTGTGTAGGAATACATTTTTTCTTCATGCGGACACAATTGCTTCTCTTTTAACTCATCAGCTCACTGCTTCCTACCTTCTTCTCCAAAATCCAGGCGGTTTCATCGTTCGTAATTATAATTTCAATACCCAATATCTCGCTCGTATTCCAGAACTACAAGTCCGATCTATGACCTTTTAAAGTGATGTTTAACCAATGGTATCAAGTATGATTTCTCAACTCTTTTCTGAGAACCAATACTAGAGGTGAGAGATGTATACTGTTTTCATAAAATCTCAGGTTACATTCGCCGTATTTCACCTCTTTCCTCGATACTTCTCTCTGATGAGACTAGCTCACACCTTCGCATTTTCCACCTTCCTCTCGTGCAATTCGCCACATCCACACATAGATGTCATAATGTCGTTACGACGGGTATCGTCAGCCGAACGTCACGATACGCTCATTCTGATCAACGAAAAAACATCCGTATCGACATCACCGTATCCTATCCATGGGTAATCACTTCAATACGCCAGCAAAAACACAACAAGATGTCGGCTTGAGGAATTGAGTGGTTTTGTCGTATTCACCACGATACGACCGTGTCGATCCATTTGAGAAGCTGAGGGATTGAGTGGATTTGTCGTATTCACCTCGATACGCACGTCTCGATCCATTTGAAAAGCTGAGGAATTGAGTGGTTTTGTCGTATTCACCACGATACGACCGTGTCGATCCATTTGAGAAGCTGAGGGATTGAGTGGATTTGTCGTATGCACCACGATACGCACGTCTCGATCTATTTGAAAAGCTGAGGAATTGAGTGGATTTGTCGTACCCATCTCGATATCCATATTCCTCATCGATCTAGGTAAGCGCTCTAACATTAGAACTTTATCTTGAGTTGACATTTCTAAAATAGCTGTCTTCTCTTTTTCATCATATTACTGTATCGTGTTCATCTGCTTAAAATTTGCTCTGCTCTTTTAATCTCTTTTTTAATCTATCAAAAAATCAATATTTCGATCTCTGATAATACGCCGTTGGTTAGATAACTTTGTTGTAAACTGCTTATTTGATCTTTTTGAAGGAAAAGCAATACTAAATGTATGAAAACATTATGTTTATCAATATCAATATTTCAATCCCAAGAATTTCTTGAATCTGAAGTTAACGGAAGGCAGAAAATATATCCCTCTCATCCTGTTTTCTTTATTCTATCAATTGCATGTACGCCTACTGTATATTGAGAAATTGGAGAACAAGAAACTGATTTTGCAAGAAGAGGTATATGGGAAAGTGTGAGCTATCTTCCATATCATTCGAATCGTTCCGATTACCGCGATTCTGCAACGAAATTTTTTTCATTTCTAATCGAACAATTTTCTTTTAATGTGTTGAAACCGCTGGAATCAGCCACACCGCCTAACTTTATTTAATTTTCGAGTTTGAGCATAATTAAAGATGGCGCTATAAAATTCACTGATTCGCTAGACGATTACCGTTAGAATACGAATTTAGCAAAAAACTGGCAGAACTGAACGAAGCGTGTTATAGGAAGGCTTTTCTGATGAACATCAACATCTACATCTACATGAACATATTCTGAAGATATAGTAGAGAAGTCAACAAAGAAGAGTCTAAAAGCGAGAAAGGGATTTTAACTGATGGCTTCAAGAGAAAATCGTTGACATGGATTGTAATATCGTCTTCTATGTAGAAGGTGAAAGAAAGAAGATCGTTTATATTCTCTATCTCATCGACGAGATTATACAATCAATTGCAAGAGTCAAAATATTGCTTGTCAGTTGTATTTGTTTCAGTTCTCTTCACGAACAACTTAACGAATTATTTTTCTCATTTAACTATATACTTACTAAGTTTAAAATCTTCTTTTTAGATCAATAATTTTTAAATATTCTTCTTATGTCTAATCGACCTACTCGTCGCCAATTGAACGAAATCGATGCATCGAATGTTGAATTTTGCGAAGTATTAACATCATCGTATACGCTCGAAGAATTCTTTCCAAACGATCCATATTTGGTGTCTATATTCAAGAATTATAGAAGTCGAAAGCTTAATGAATTGACTTTGTTTTGGTGTTTCGTCGTTAGCTTTATGCATTGGTAATCTTTGACATTATCATTGACATATAACTTAATCAGTTTCATGTATCATTTAAGGTCTTCAGAAACGAAATTATATGATAAAGAAACGGCCAACTATACTACGGTGAAGCTTTATGGAATTCTTCGAGGGGATTCAGGTAAATCTATTTATAATTGCAAATTGATATAACGTTTTAATTCTTTCATTTAGTGTCACATAAATCTGGTTACATCAAATCGATTCGAAAAGCATTTGCTTTTATTGAAAATTATTTTTCATCGAATTTTACTGATTCGAATAATAAATTCGTTTCAACTTGTCTTGAAAATATTACACCAGCAAAACTACTTGTTGAACTCGAATCGTCATCAGTAAGTACAGCTTTGGCAATATATTNGTATCGTCAGCCGAACGTCACGATACGCTCATTCTGATCAACGAAAAAACATCCGTATCGACATCACCGTATCCTATCCATGGGTAATCACTTCAATACGCCAGCAAAAACACAACAAGATTTCGGCTTGAGGAATTGAGTGGATTTGTCGTATTCACCACGATACGACCGTGTCGATCCATGTGAAAAGCTGAGGGATTGAGTGGATTTGTCGTATTCACCACGATACGACGGTGCCGATCCATTTGAAAAGCTGAGGGATTGAGTGGATGTGTCGTATCCATCTCGATACCCATATTCCTCATCGATCTAGGTAAGCGCTCTAACATTAGAACTTTATCTTGAGTTGACATTTCTAAAATAGCTATCTTCTCTTTTTCATCATATTACTGTACCGTGTTCATCTGCTTAAAATTTGCTCTGCTCTTTTAATCTCCTTTTTAATCTGCCAAAAAAAATCAATATTTCGATCTCTGATAATACGCCGTTGGTTAGATAGCTCTATTGTAAGCTGCTTGTTTGATCTTTTTGAAGGAAAAGCAATACTAAATGTATGAAAACTTTATGTTTATCAATATCAATATTTCAATCCCAAGAATTTCTTGAATCTGAAGTTAACGAAAGGCAGAAAATCTATTCCTCTCATCCTGTTTTCTTTATTCTATCAATTGCATCTACGCCTACTGTATATTGAGAAATTGGAGAACAAGAAACTGATTTTGCAAGAAGAGATATATGGGAAAGTGTGAACTATCTTCCATATCATTCGAATCGTTCCGATTACCGCAATTCTGCAACGAAATTTTTTTCATTTCTAATCGAACAATTTTCTTTTAATGTGTTGAAACCGCTGGAATCAGCCACACCGCATAACTTTATTTAATTTTCGAGTTTGAGCATAATTAAAGATGGCGCTATAAAATTCACTGATTCGCTAGACGATTACCGTTAGAATACGAATTTAGCAAAAACTGGCAGAACTGAACGAAGCGTGTTATAGGAAGGCTTTTCTGATGAACATCAACATCTACATGAACATATTCTGAAGATATAGTAGAGAAGTCAACAAGGTAGAGTCTAAAAGCGAGAAAAGGATTTTAACTGATGGTTTCAAGAGAAAATCGTTGACATGGACTATAATATCGTCTTCTATGTAGAAGATGAAAGAAAGAAGATCGTTTACATTCTCTATCTCATCGACGAGATTATACAATCAATTGCAAGAGTCAAAATATTGCTTGTCAGTTGTATTTGTTTCAGTTTTCTTCACGAACAACTTAACGAATTATTTTTCTCATTTGACTATATACTTTACTTTACTAAGTTTAGAATCTTCTTTTTAGATCAGTAATTTTTAAATATTCTTCTTATGTCTAATCGACCTACTCGTCGCCAATTGAACGAAATCGATGCATCGAATGTTGAATTTTGCGAAGTATTAACATCATCGTACACGCTCGAAGAATTCTTTCCAAACGATCCATATTTGGTGTCTATATTCAAGAACTACAGAAGTCGAAAGCTCAATGAATTGACTTTGTTTTGGTGTTTCGTGGTTAGCTTTATGCATTGGTAATCTTTGACATTATCATTGACATATAACTTAATCAGTTTCATGTATCATTTAAGGTCTTCAGAAACGAAATTATATGATAAAGAAACAGCCAATTATACTACGGTGAAGCTTTATGGAATTCTTCGAGGGGATTCAGGTAAATCTATTTATAATCGCAAATTGATATAACGTTTTAATTCTTTCATTTAGTGTCACATAAATCTGGTTACATCAAATCGATTCGAAAAGCATTTGCTTTTATTGAAAATTATTTTTCATCGAATTTTACTGATTCGAATAATAAATTCGTTTCAACTTGTCTTGAAAATATTACACCAGCAAAACTACTTGTTGAACTCGAATCGTCATCAGTAAGTACAGCTTTGGCAATATATTAACTAGATTTTAATCTTGATTATAAATGTTAGAAATTTATTTCGAGTGACGAAGATCAACCTTTGGAAAATTTTTCTTTTTTCGATCCAAAATTACCAAAAGGAAAGGAAGCCCAAACTTACTTGCTTACAGCGTTCAATGGCGCATATGATCTTCATAAATCCACCATGACATATTCCAAGCATATTCGTGATAAAAGTCTCACACTGTTAGTTCCAACTACTGGGCATCAATGGTTTTCGTTATTGGAATATTTCTATGATTCAAGTACAACAAACGGTATGATATTCCTATCTAATATGCTTAACCCTAACTTGATTTCTGTCAATATTCTATGAGAGAATTTTATATTGGGTTATTGGAAAAAAGAACTTTGTTCACGAAGAATCATTATTAAACACAGAATTGCCAAGCTTGGAATATTTGCTTATTGCACGAGTACTGATCGGTCATCGTATTTATGAATATGATCAAGATGCGAGTAATTATCTTCGACCAATTTTGCACAAAATGCGTTCCAATGGTCCACCATCTGATGGATTATTTAGTGTTCCAGAAAACAAACGTGCCGGTAAATATTTATTTTATTTGCAGTTTTTAGTAATACGCTTTTCATTATAGAGGCATGTGAACGGCGAGGAGCCGATTTAATTGAACGTATTGCCGTCATTATCCAGAATATTTTCGACACACTGAAAGTATTAAAATCAGCTAAATCAATTAACTTCCATACTATTCCGAAGGACGCATTGAATGAAATTAAATCCAATATTGGTAATTATTTTTATCCAAATGAAATGTTGAGGTAAGTACAATATCTATCTCATCATTGAAGATGTAAGAATATCTGGTACTCACCCTTTAGAGTCAATTTTTGTTTCATCTACGTTTTCGAAGTTTAATCCACTGTTTGAATGTATTTTAACAACATATACACATCTACAAGAGAGAATTATTTGTATAATTGTTTTTGATTGATAAGACAGGAGTAGAAAATACAATTGTTTCAAATAGGTTATTGAGTAACTAATAATCAGCTCAAATAAGTAGAAAGAGAAGTGTATAAATGTTCGTCTGTTGAATTTATGACGAAACAACAAAATAGCTGTCTATAAGTAAAACAGCTTAGGTTAGTTAAAATTCAGCATCGTTATGTTCTTATATTGACAATAAATGGAGTACTCAGAGTTTGTTTTGAGTAAATGCTTGATATCTAGAACAACAAATAGATGCAGATTTTCGCAGTCATCCATGTCAATAAAGAACAGAATCTCTCATCCGAAAAATAATTATGAACTTTGTTTTATTTATAGTCAAATTGAAAACAATTTATCTTATGCTGAAGGGATTGATTTGAAAGAGTTAAATGAAGTACGAATATCTAGTGTGGATAAACAACCATCTCAATCAATGAAAGTTGGATTGTCTGCTGCTAAAATTGCTGTTAACTTTTTCCACAAATTATTATTGCCACAATCAATTCAATTATTTTCTACCGATTCGATCAATGACAAAAAAATCGTTTTAAACGAATTAAAAATTATTCAACATCCAATGAATTGCTTCTCAATCAGCGATTTAACGTGTGGCAGCATCTTTCATAGTAAGGATATTATTTTTAACAATTGAATTAAAAATTACAAGTTTTATACATAGATCATAAGCGTGACCACATCGATGTAAAAGAATTACTTACAAATTTGGAAAAAAATGGTTTTCTTACACATGGAAAATTTGTTAAAAGTTCCTGTCGATTAATTGAGAGTTGGATTAAATTGTTACCTGATCCATCAGATGATGAACAAATTGGAAGTTTTCAAAAAAAATTAAGTTCCAATTACCATCTAGATTTACAAAAATATATTGATTATTACAAGGGTGGTGTTGATGGTAAATCACCATTAACTGAAACAGGTGACAGAACATTATTTACACAACGATCCTGGATTGAAAAGATAAAAGAAAAAATTGATAATGCTTCTATTTTAAACAAACGTTCTGGTAAGAAACTTTTCTAAGCAATTACTTCCGAGACTTGAAGAAGCTACAGATTTCATGTTGAAATGTACTCTCTTTATTATCGATAACATTTTGATTCGATCATTATAAAAATGAATTATTTCAAAGTTTAAACGAGTTTTGCTTCTTAAAGATGACGTTTTATATATCGTTATCTTCTTGAAAAAGATATCGTACTACTAAATTAATAGTTTGAAATAAAGCATACAGATAATTGAAACTTTAAGCAAAATCTCGTCTATTTAGAATTAACAACGGATTCATTTTCTATCGTACCACAAATTCAACAAACAACATTATGTACAAGTAATGGTAGCATCTTAAGCGCATATAATTTATTTGATTTCATTCATGGTGACCGGACTGAATGTCGCATGGACAGAATGTCGGCGGACGAATCAGGGTGCGGTGAGGGTGAGGATGAGGGTGTAGGTGAGGGTGTGGGTGAAGGTGAGGGTGTGGGTGAAGGTGAAGGTGAAGGTGAGGGTGAGGGTGTAGGTGAGGGTGTGGGTGAGGGTGAAGGTGAGGGTGTGGGTGAGGGTGAAGGTGAGGGTGAGGGTGAGGGCGTAGGTGAGGGTGTGGGTGAGGGTGAAGGTGAGGGTGTGGGTGAAGGTGAGGGTGTGGGTGAAGGTGAGGGTGTGAATGTGTTCTTATGCTCACATGGCGCTTCATATCATCAGCGTTTAGATTTGGTTAATGGAAGAGTTAGCACACACGACATTTTGTTCATACGACTGTCTGTCCGTGCAGCATTTTACGGACAGCAATCTGTCCGCGATACTCCGTCTGGCGACATTCTGCCCTAGCGCTTTATTCATATGCATTTAGGTGTTGCTGAAGAGTTTGGTGATTTAATTGATTATAATACAGCAAGTGAATTCATTGATATCGTTCAGGATATTAATATTCCATCGGCAATTGAAGATAATCTTGGTGAGATGTTTCGCATTTTATGCACCGGGTATCTTACAGTTGTATTTAGAATCTTTACTCGAAAAGAATCTAACCACATTTAATGATAAAGTGTTTGTTCTAAATGAAGTTGAACATTGTTTATCAAATATTATTGAACAAGTAATTGTTTCAAGTAATACAAATGATGAACAAGGAATGAATTTAATCGAACGTGAAAACAATACAGGTAAGACATGTGAGTATTGAACGGCGTATATAAATTTTTTGTATCATATAGTTTCTACATCTGCGATTTCCACAATATGTTCAACATCATCTGATGAATTTATTTCCGAAGATATGAAAAAATTATGTAAACAAATATTGTTAATCGATTCTATTGTTTTATCCGGTACCAAATTGAATAAAATGTTCAAAGTTGCCATGTATGACATTCATAAAGCATGTCATTTATTGATTGAAAAGAAACTATTAATTAAAGAAACCAAAATGTTAGCAAACATACATGCGTATCATGAATGCTATTTAAAAAATATTCCTCAAAATAAAACAGCATTAGTCGAGTTTTCTGTTTCATTGGCGAAGTTTGGAATTTACAATATCGATACATATTATAATACATTGACAAACAGTAAGTGTGACTGAAACGATTGGTATTTCAAATGATTATAATCATATTCGACATTTTCAGTTGATACAAAGAATACCACCTATTTATCACCATATGGACTGTCAATCTTAGAGCAAAAACCATACAATGATTTGAAAATAGTTGTGAATAAAGATGCTATTGTACAACCATCAAAAGAACGATTTCGAAAATTTACAGATCTGTCTGATGTTACTCAAGATGGTAATAAGGAGAATTGTGAGTATATACATATTTATGGCCATTCATGTAATGCACTTTTATTCTTAGTGACATGTGAAGTGAACAATGTCTTAACAGATGATGGGCATAATCTTGATCATGCAGTTTCCAATGGGAAACGACATCGCCAGCCGACTATAAAGGCAAAAACATATGCCGAAGAAAAATCCAAATCAAAAAAGAAAAAGAGTAGTGTTTAAAATATTATGAATATCAAACTATAACATCAACCGATTTATCTATTATCTTTCTCATTCGTTTTGACAATAGAAAGTGACAATTATATTGTAATTGCGTGATTTATCTGTGTGTTTTGTCTAATGATTTTGATTTCTTAGCTGCATATCGTTCATCAATAGAAGCATTACACGTTAATAATTGTTGTTTATCGACGCGACCAATCGCTAGGAAGTTTCATTTTTCCAACTTAAGAGATCCGTAACCCCTCAAGAATAAAAGTGTTAGTTTCGAATTTTTTTATATACTGATTGGTACGAAATTTCTTTATATGAGCAAAGTTCTTCGGGATAACTCTTATGCTTGCATTTTCGCAAAAAGATTAACTATTCATAGATTAACATTCTATGTAAGTATAAGAGTTGTTGAGCTTTTCGAAACGAGGAACAATCTTAGTTATATTGGAAAATTATATCGTTAGTAACACTTTTTTTCCTTTACCACGCTGATTTGTTGCCTACCATTTCATCTGCTTTTGACCTGTAGCACGTCGATGCTGGCGTGGCTGACATTTATTGTTCGATGCTTCCTATAAGGCATGCAGCTTAGGCATGAATAGCTGCTCGATGCGTGGACAGACCAAAGACATTGTAACGTTGTGTTACTGCACTTTTCATCTCATGTTCCCTCGACTGAAAGGAGGGTCATATAAAAAAAAAGTTTGTCTGTCTGTCTGTCTGTCTGTCTGTCTGTCTGTGTCAGGGTCAAAGGTCAAAGGTCAAAAAAACATTTTTTTTGAAAATGCTTAAAACTTCATAAAACATTGTTTGGAAGTGGTGTAGAGGGTAGATATTGGTGGGGGATGCGTGATGGGGTCAAAAGAGCGCCGTAGAAGATGTGTTCAAAGGCGCACGAAACATTCGTTCAAGATATGGCGTAGATCGTTAAAGACTATTCTCTATCTGACGCAGAAAGACCAGATATAATGACTTGGTCGCCTGTATGATTCTTTGTATGTTTCCGCTTCACTGCTTGCTACAAGAATTAGGCAAAGGTATACAAAGTGATTTCCCTGTAACAGTCCGTCGAGAAAATCGGTGACAATTGATTATAAATCTGGATCTAATTTTGTTCACCATTTTGTCTGTGCTTTGCTCTTTACTCAAGTGAATAGATTTTCAAATATTTATATGAAAATGTCGTCTAGGAATTTGTATGGGAAGGGTGCAATTCCTGATAATATAGCTATCCATACTCATGTATGAAGTACGCACAAACATAGAAAATTATGAATCTTAGCTATAGAAGTCACAATTTAGTTACATTGTTTGTTACTGCAAATCCCAAAGAGAACTATACTCCTTGTATATCTCTTGATCATTTTAGAGTCAAGACCATAAGTAATCTGCTTAAAACCGGTAATCTAGTGTTGGTGAGGAAGTCGCACGCCATTTGAGAAAGCTGTAATGCTATGCACAATATCGAGCAGTCGGGAGTGGCGGACCGCAGGGACGCCGACGACCGACTGCGAGATGGATGGGTTCATACATTGTTTGAAATGAGTAGAATGAAAAAGGCATCAGTCGAGGGTTAAGCGAGTTGACCTCGACGAGCGTTACTTGTTCGTAATGACAACATTTATTTAATTGATTAAGGATGTTCCGCTACTTATCTTTTCTTTTTCTTCTTAGATGAATTCTAATTGTAATACCGATAGTTTCAATGACGATGAAATGTTTCTTATTTCATTAAATCGACGAGTACCATTGCAACATTTGAGTTTCATGTATTTTCTTGATTGCAAACTGGATGAACTTATTTCAAAGAAATATGATGATATATCAAATATGGTCCAGGTGACATATGGAGTCAAATATGATGGTTCATTGATACAATCTATTTTGAACTTACTAAAATCAGATAACATCTCGTTACGTATATTTTCATCGCACAACATCGATGAAATCATTAACGATTACTCTAGAGATCATCGCTTTCTTACAATGGCTTCATTACATACTATAAAACCATTTACAACATCGTGTCTATATTGTAATCTTCCACTGAAATTACAGTTTAAAGAGAAAGTCAATGTTTTTCTCATGGATCATATAGATATTGGGGCTATTTTCATTGCTCGATGCTGTCATGTTGAATATCATACTAATAGTTATGTCAAAGGCTCAAAACGTTACGTTAGTCGTCAGTCTTTCTACAACCAAAAATATATTCATTTCGGTGGTAAATGCGTTTTACGTATTGATATTCTATTATGATATGCGTCAGATTTGCTTAATATGGTAAGTTAAAGAATTTATAATTAACTTTTTACGTCATATATAATATTCATTCAAGTCCAACAAATTTTCCTCATCTCTTTTTGAAACGTTTTGACTATAAAACTTTATTTTAGTATGCCGGTTTCGAAAATTTTTGTGGTGCTTATAATGATACAGTAGCATCAGTATCATCGCAAAATGCTCGTGATAATGTTTTTGACTTAAAAGACGCACCATTGTTAGAGCGTCGACTGTTTGAAAATATCTGGTTAATTTATTCAACGGCATTATCAAAGCTCTTCCTGTCAACAGATACAGAAATTGAAATTCCATATCATCTTAGCAATCGTGATGAACGAAATCATTTTTTTGCTTCCCAAATAAGTCAATTAGAACGTGACATTATTCTATACTGGTCAAACCATATGTTGAAATTCAGTTGTGGTAATCAATGCTGCAAAGCAATTGTTATCGATGGATTCCAAAAGCCTGATCGTTATATTTGCAATTTTATGCAAGAACTCATTTATTCGGAAGAGTTGGGCAAGATTTTCTAAAATGGCTATCAAGTTTTTCCCATGCCACCTTCAGGTGATATTGAATGGGGTTGTGGCTTTCGTGCAGAAATGATTCCTGACAAAGACAATCCGGGCTACTGGAAAAATACAAAATATTGTCCCAAACATATTTATCTTGAGCATATTCAAGCAGCACCTTGCTCAATAGACAAAGATGATTATAACGTTGTAGATTGTAATGTCTCAAGGTAATCACGAATACAAAACATGTTAATTGTTCAGTTTTTTGCTCGATAGAACCGATCGTTACTGTAGTCGTCGAACTTCCTATGGAGTAATACTCACTATGTGCAATTGTGGTATCATTCTGAACTTCAATGAATTATACAGATCTGAATCACCTACACGAGTACTCCATCACTTATGTACAACAATTAATTGTTTATCACCATCTGTGTAAGTATTAATTGCGCCGATTAGATCCATACTTACTCTGCACGAAAATTTTCCTCTGTAGTCCATTACCAAAATACTTGATATACGACAATGCATGTGGTCTGTTACTCACGTTTCAAAATCGTTTTGAAAATGGTCATATACATCACACAGCACGCACCGATGCCTTGTAAGTTTACATCATTCATTCACTACATGGACACAAATTCATTTTACTTTCTAGAGATAACATGATATTTTTGATTGATAAATTTCACATTGGTAATCATACGAGACCGATGTGTCAGGCACAAACCAACCCATACAAATATCCTGATGTCAATGGCATAAACACAGTTGTCTGTGAACAGACAAACTTGAAATTGAAAAAATACCAGAATACACTATCATCTTTCTCTTTTCCAAAGAGTAAAATCTTCTATCTCTTATTGTTTAATTTCATGAACTGTAAGAAAAAAAAATTTCTCTATACAGCTGTAGAAAATCATAATTTACCAATTATCTTTGTTTCTCATATTTTTCATTTAATAAATCCAGCTTATCAACATTTACCATGCATATAAAACCACAGATGAATTTTTCAAAGGCGATGGCGCTCGGAAAGCAATACCGGTAGTGCAAGCAGCAACTGAGAGTGCTCGGAAAGTGAGGCCAACGAGCAGCCCCGACGCAAAATCGAGGCATCAATTAAAATGAGAAATATTTATTCATTAGTTTCTCACTATTACAAACAAAAGCACAGCTCCACTACACCATACCGCGTTTTTCAACTCTCCAACTAACCGATTTTCACGATGCACGCCTTCCAGTAGATCCGCTCCTTCACTTACTATACGTCACTCAACGTCCATATTCCAGTGAGCCACTTAATAGCACTAAACAATTTACTCCAGGTAAAACATCATCTAATATCTATGACAACCTTCAATCAAATTCCACACATTTCAAAGATAGATCTAGGACGTGTGTATCGTGGTGGCTACGACACATCCACTCTCTCAGCTTTTCAAATGGATCGAATTGTGCGTAGCGTGGTGGATGGCGGAGAGGAACGTAGTATGATATTGGACCGAATATGATTGATTTTTATGAATACCCGTCGTACCGATATTATGACATCACTCCCATTTGTTTCGCGTAAGTCTTTATTATCAAACAATCAGTTCGAAAATGTCGAATGCTTTAATAGATGTTCTCGGAGGCAAGCTTAGCGCAAGTACAGTATGCCCATCGGCGCAACACGCTCTTTCTTCTCATTATAATCTACACAATATGTATGGATATTTCGAAGCAAAAGCAACGAATATGTACATATAAAGAAGTTTTTTCCTGTTTGAGCGATTACGGGATCATGTATTCTAGTGCATTGAAAGCAATTCGAGGTAAACGACCATTCGTTCTGTCACGTTCGTCATTTGCTGGTTCCGGTCAATATACTGCACACTGGACTGGGGACAATAAATCAACATTCAAAGACATGTATTTTTCCATTTCAGGTACAAACATCCATAATATAATAATATCGAGTCATTTTCGATACTTGTATAGCTATTCTCAGTTTTAATATGTTTGGTCTGACTAATGTCGGTGCTGATATATGTGGTTTTGGATTAGACACAACGGAAGAATTGTGTACACGATGGATGCAGTTAGGTGCATTCTATCCATTTATGAGAAATCATAATGCTGGAAAGGTAGGATTCTATTCCTGGACATAGTATTCCAAGATCTAATTACAATCTATAGGATCAAGATCCAGCTGTGTTCTCCTGGACAGCTCAACAGATCATGAAGCAAGCAGTGCTCATGCGATACTCGCTGACACCATTCTGGTACACACTTCATTATCAAGCGACAGTATCATCGAAAACGTTAATACAACCTCTTCATTTCGAGTACGATTATCCAATGCTTATGCTGTTCATTCGTGCTTCTTCATAGATTTTCTGATGATGAAAATACATTGGGTATCGATCAGCAATTCCTTCTCGGACGTGCTATTCTTGTTTCACCAAATCTTATCTCGGTAAGTAGTGATGGATATGTTCATATACATGTACAGCTCTGGCCTGATAGAATACGACGACAGTTAATGCTTATTTTCCTCGAGATATCTGGTATCAGTACCCATCGGGTAAAAAAGTCGAGTCCGTCGGTGTATTTGCAAATCTTGATGCTCCTTTGGATAAGATAAATGTTCATATTCGAGGTGGCTTCATTATTCCGATGCAAATACCTGGTGATAATTTGATGTTAAGTCGTGGAAATCCATTTATTTTAATCGTGGCATTGTCGTCATTCAGAAATGCGACTGGAAATTTATTTTGGGATGATGGAGACTCGATCGAAACGAAGATCTATAACTATTTTGAATTTTCGTCCGTTGAAGTAAGTGAAATGATCGAATCAATATGATTATTCTTCAATAATCGATCGAATAGAATACGTTGACAATCAATGCAACCGTAACCAATTACACAGATTCACCAATGCGTTTAGAACTTGTCCGAATTTTTGGTGTTAATCAGTCGGTTACAGATGTTATTGTCAATGGAAAAGAACATATCGACTTCTTTTACAATATTTCTGATCAAGTATGATTGTACAAATTGGATTGTGTAACTATAGACGCATTACTTCTAGGTTTTAGTGATCTATGCTCTCGATCTAGCCATGATCGAGCAGACTATTCAAACCATCCAATGGATAACAATGAAATAGAATAGACACGATTAGGTAGCATAGTTCTGCTAGTTTATCTTCCTATTGTCTCTTCTCTGAGTCTTTATCGAATATGTATCGATATCAAGCAAATATCGTTTATATAAAAAAATTAAAAGACTAAGATCACAAAGAGATTTTGATGACAGTTGCTGATTCTACGTAATAATAAGAATTATTATTTTGCATCTGATTCTACAGACGAGATGAGTGTTTCCAGTGATAAAGATTCCTTTCGATAATAATGATAAGTACCGGGGTATGACTTATGTGGATGCATTTTTGAACGTCTTTCCATTGCCNATATCAAGCAAATATCGTTTATATAAAAAAATTAAAAGACTAAGATCACAAAGAGATTTTGATGACAGTTGCTGATTCTACGTAATAATAAGAATTATTATTTTGCATCTGATTCTACAGAAGAGATGAGTGTTTCCAGTGATAAAGATTCCTTTCGATAATAATGATAAGTACCGGGGTATGACTTATGTGGATGCATTTTTGAACGTCTTTCCATTGCTACTTGTAACGCCTTATAAAGTTCAAATGCTCGATTTATATGAATCATTGGTTGAGTGAATTTTGGTGGTGTTTGCGGACTACTTCGTGATGATTTACTTCCATTAATCTGTAGAAAGAAAAATAAAAAAAATTCTCTTAGACGTTCTGAAAATAGACGTGTCGGCGATGCACAAAGGCTATGATTAAACTGTCCTTGACAGAAACACTTAAATACATTGATACATGCAGTACATCTCATTTTGAAACGGAATCTATTCGAATTTGCACATGCTCAATTCCTGTTTTGAAATCGTGCTACGAGGAAAGCTCTTCTTCACTTCTTACTTGCCACTGAACTGTCTTTTAAAATTAATTTTCAGAAAAGCATAAACTGATATTCACACTGAATAATAGAAGTTAGAACTCTATCCTTTTGCTGAAAGACCATCCAAGATATACGTTTCGCATTTCCTCCCGGTGTCTCTAATCTTACCTGTAACGTTGCTGTAATCGGTGCACGTTCAGTTGAAGCTTTTGGATGAGCAATAATTTTGATTTCATAGTTTTCAGTAGTAGCGATATTGTCTACCGAATAGTGGCCGTCATTTGATGGACGAATGGTCTCTTTCAGTGTATTATTAATGTACAATTCAAAATAATCAATAAATGTAAGTGAATGTATTGGTGAAACTCCAACTCGGCCGATGATTTTATCTGGATCTTTGAAGACGGCGGAGATTTTAATACTGCAATTGCCCCATACAGATTCCACGTCTTCGTCTCCCATAACATATGTTGGCCTAGAGAACAAATTGTGTTATAATTCGATGAAAAAGTTTTGACTTTATACAATTTACAAACCTGCAATTATCAACAAAGCTTGATATTTTCCGATCTTCCGTTGAATAGGAACGCAACACCAGAAAGCCTGCCCGTCGAAAACGTATACCATCATCACGATCATACAGCTAAATTACGAAAAACATGCATAAAAATAATTTTGTCATAATTCTTCATTTACCCGAATGTGATTATCTGGCCGTGTTGGAATCGATCCGTCCATTGTATAGTAAATGTCTGCATTTCGATCGTTTTCGCACTTTAAATGCACTTGCATGTCAAATGGACTTATATCAGTAATTGTTTCTCTGACAGCCGGCTGTGAAATTCGTTCTTTTATACAAACAACAGAGATAATAAGCGACTATTTTGAAAAGAAATCTTTACTATTCTCGCGATCAACGCTAGTTGAATAAACAACAACATTTGTCGTATACCCAAAACGATTTGACTGAACAGTGTATGTTCCCGGTTGCAGAAATGTATGCAGATGACATATGCCTTTGATTTCACCATTTACTTTTCGATTAGTAGGACTAATCGGATCTTCTTCACCCTCGTCCTCATTTGATTGCACAACGATGTGGTGTTCTACTTCGGTATTTTTCGATACCCACGACACCGTGTCATTCTATGTTTACATGAAGAGTTAACAATAAGTGAAGATATCCTCATATACCTGTTCAATATATAAAACATTTGGACGGAAGCTTTCGTCAGTGACGAGAATCGAATTTTGACTGAACGGTGGGTCGATGATAACCGTCGATATCAGTCGAGTCTTAACAAACATATAATTCAGATGAAAAATTTTGTTTTTCTATAAACCTTACTTCATTAAAGCCAGTAACTTTTTCAAAATCTAAACAGCAAACAAATCTCTCTACTTGTGTTCTTAATCAATTTCATATCTTTACCTGGATTAGCAAAGAAGAATGCTCCAATAGACAATTTTTCACAATAAAAACCCACACATTGTCGTTTTCTTCCAACCACCGCTCTCGTGTGACAAGCCAGTAAATCATCGAACTTTTCATCTTGATGTAACTGCACAACATTGTGAGAAATAGGTTGATCGAAACGCCAGATAACAAAATCCTTGCTATTGGTCGTTACGATCAGTTTGCTATCGAAAGCTTTTTTGGTTTCTATTCGTTTTTCATGAAAGCGAATTTCTGGTATGACGATGACCGCTAATGGCTGTGTGATTGTTTGCTTTATTGTCTTTCTCAGATGATTTTTCACATTGGTTGAGAAGTAAAAAACGCCGAGATCATTGAAATGTTTCACAAAATAATTAATACTGTTTCTTTGAGGTTGGAATAATATACTTCCATGTTCTGTTCGTCTTCCATGCTCGTTCGTTTGGAATATTGTACTAGCGATAGTGGTAAGCGATGGAAGAATTTGGACTTGATCACAACGGTTGATTTTGATTATATTTGGTTCGAATGCGTTGTATTCATCATAAGTTATATAATGAGTCTATGAAATATAAAGAAAAATTTTCGAGAAAAAATCGAAGTTTCGACTTACTTCGATGGCATTTTCGATGATGAGACTTATGAGAACAGTATTCATATCTTTCGAACAGGTAAAGTTGTACAAGCCGTACTGAGGTATGTTGTAGAGAAATGTTTCGCATGTGTCAAAATATCGACTAAAGGCCGGCACAATATTTCGACATTTATGGGTATCTAAACATAGATAATTTTCTTTTTCCAGAGTTTACATAACTTTGTTTGACTTACGACATTGAAATGGTCGAGTGCGATCATTCTGGATATCGGATGGTACTGATGTTTCTCGATCAATTGTTAGAAATATCGGGTCATGTTTTGGTTTTGCCTTCTTCCAGTTAAATTGAATGAAATCATTTGTATTGATGTTGGCATAAACTAAACATATTCGAACATTGAAAACAATCTCAAAATCCGAATTCAATGTTTTCAAACCTGATTTCTCATCGAAGAACGCTATTTGATGAATCTTCACTCGTGGTTTGACAACAATCGTACCGATTCGATCTCCAGTTTTATAACAATACACGCCTGTTCCTTTGAACTGATGATACATCAGACCACGACGTGTCGGTCCATGTGGCCAAAAGAAATGTTCGCCAGCGTTTCTCAACTAGTCAATTAGAACAAAGCATGTTCATTGGTAATGACTTTTCTTATAAAATACAAACTTCGATTGATTGCTGAGTGCATTCGTCGATACGAAATGGTTCGATCTGTACGATACTTTGACTAGCAGTGGTACTCCAATCAAACATAATCCAATCATTTTCTTCGATGTTAATAAGCTGTGGTTGAATCTCATCATCAGTGATTTGTACATGTTTTATTTTATATGTATTGTCAACAATAACTGCAATGATATCACGAAGTTGATTTGTGTTTGTATAACGAAAGAGGAATGAACTACCCAGTTCATTGAATGTTTTTCGATATTTTCCTCCTGCAGATGGTCGTTGAGATGGTTGTCCAACAGTGTATAGTCGTCCTGTTTGTGGACAATATTTTCGTTCTTCGATACGATAAGTATGATGTTGACTCGACGACCAATGGAGTTCGATAGTATCGCCTTTATTCAGATAAACCTTTTGATTCGAGTCCAGATCGGTTAGAGCGATTTTTTCTTCACATTTTCTTATTGTTAGACGGTTCAATCGACAATATTCTGCAGGACATTTGCGTTCTCTAACAATTCTTTCACGTCGCGATGACAAAATAACACAGAAATAGAAGTCGATTTCAGGAACAGTAAGGTCTAATGAAAGACGCATGAGTCGTTCATTCAACGGTGTACACATGTTGATGTTAAACAATTCATAACCATGATCAACTTGATAGTAATCGTCACCATCCTTGTACACTTGAAAGATATCGTATTTCCGTACAGAAAGTGATGTTAATTCGAGAATATCACCGCATCGTACAGGTTCTAGTTCAATAAACCGACGCGTGGTAACGTGCAGAACACGATTGTTTTTGTTTGGTTTATTATTCTCAGTTTGAAATGACGTCATTATAGTATCTGTCAAAGAATAAGAAGGATCGATTAGATTTATTGCGTTTTGGTACTGAAATGGTGGAAGTCTTACCTGGTTTCGGTCGGCCACCAGCATTTGGAGCATTTCGAGAAGTATTCGGCTGTCTGGCGACGCTTGCTCCGCAACCCATATTGGAGTTTCTATTCGAAAGGTACCGAAAAATTACTATCTGAAAAAGATTTTAGTAATTGTCAGTTGAAAAGTTCGAAAATAAAATATTCACTTACAAAAATAAGAATGGAAACAAGATTTTAATACTCATACTTTCATGTCGGTTTATATCAAATAACAACAAAGCAACAAGAAAAGGGTGAAGAAAGCGTTGACGCGCGGAGAATTGTTAGAGGTTGTATGAAGAATGGGTAATCCATAAGACTTTAAAACAGACAAATAATGCTAATTTACGTAGTCCTTCAGCTGGAACGAACAGAGAAGCACCGAGACTATGTATCATGTCAACATTATGGGGAGAACAGTAGCTGAATATGAAAAGTACACTTTCGATCAAAAAAATTTGATACGCTCTTGTCCAGCTGATGGATGGAGTGATGGGAGAGGCTGCCCGGAACGTCTTTCCTTATAAACGGAGCGTAAATGTGCAACGTGCGGTCGATTCAACCATCTAATGAAGTAATATATAACAACAGCCATCAATGCGATAAAAGCTACTCCACCAAGGACAGCTCCAACGATTATACCGGTTTTATCCGCTACAATTGCGACCGTGGTTGTAGTTGTGGTACTTGTGGTAGAGGTAGTGGTGGTTGCTGTGGTCGTTGTAGCAGTCGTTGCCGATGTGGTGGTTGACGTTGTCGACGTGCTTGTTGTCGCGCTTGTTGTTGACGTCGTAGTTACGGTAGTAGTTGTTGTTGACGTAGTTGACGTAGTACTGCTTGTACTTGAAGTGCTGGTAGTTGACGTGCTGGATGTGCTCGAAGTACTGCTAGTGGACGAAGTACTTGTACTACTTGTCGTGCTACTAGTTGATGTTGTCTCGCTTGTAGTGGAAGTAGTGCTTGTTGATGAAGTACTTGTGGTTGCGGATGTGGTCGACGTAGAAGTACTACTAGTAGTACTCGTCGAAGAAGTGCTGGTGGATGATGTTGAAGTTGTTGACGTCGTAGACGTCGTANTGGATGTGCTCGAAGTACTGCTAGTGGACGAAGTACTTGTACTACTTGTCGTGCTACTAGTTGATGTTGTCTCGCTTGTAGTGGAAGTAGTGCTTGTTGATGAAGTACTTGTGGTTGCGGATGTGGTCGACGTAGAAGTACTACTAGTAGTACTCGTCGAAGAAGTGCTGGTGGATGATGTTGAAGTTGTTGACGTCGTAGACGTCGTAGCGGAGGTTGTACTAGTAGTACTAGTGCTACTACTTGACGTAGAACTAGTACTTGAGGTGCTTGAAGTGGAGCTGGTACTTGTGGTCGCTGTTGTGCTTGTTGTAGAGCTAGTGCTGCTTGTACTGCTGGTACTCGTTGCTATATTTTAAAGAAATAGAAATGTTTATTTTTCGATTCTATAAATACGGTTTGCCTACAAGAAGTTGTCGTCGTGGTGCATGTACAGGTACATGTGCAACCGCAGCTACCAGTACAGGTGGTTGTATCGCCAATTGCTTGACGTGCTATTCGAGCATGAATATAATCTGAACTTAACAATCCATATGGAACTACTTCTACAAGTAAACAGCCAAAGTGCTCAAGTTTGCGCAAAAAGATAGCAAACCATTCTCTTTTGCTATGGCTTGAGAAATACCAATGGAAAAAAGCGAAATGTAAAACAAGAACAACATTAATGCAGTTTACTTCATCTGGAAAATGAATGAAATTGAAAATTACGATATTCTCTCCCATTTTACTTTGCATTAGAATCAAAATGTAAATACATTGATCGAGACATATTTGTTGACTCTCTGAAAGTATCGAGTACACTGTAGTACGGAGAAATGAAAAAAGAGAATTTCTATTTTAAAAAGCAGTCGTCTAGAAATCTGTCGACTTAAGTATATATAGGAGAACAGGAAAAACAGATAGATCGTAGATGGCCTGTAGCTCAGAAGAGAGTGGGAACTTAATTTTTTTTGTTTCCATAGACGTTTTTAAAAAAATGATGTAGACTAACAAACAAGTTGGCAACATCTTTTTTCCGCCGTTCACTGACAGCGAATAATTTCTTAGAATACATCATCTTGCAAGATGAGCTATCGAAGATACCTCAAAAATAGATATTGCTGTTCTCGTTTCAAATCAGCAGTGTCCCTGTTCCAAAATTCTAGAATTCTGATATCTTTTGGAATTTTTCCTCTATTACAACACAGACGGCGTATCGATGTTGGTCAATCTTTACATGATAAATTCTTAGGATGTAGAACAAATGGCATTGATGACACTCTGGAATTCATGGAATTCATGGAACTGTGGAATTCATGGAACTGTGGAATTCATGGAACTGTGGAATTCATGGAACTACTGGAATTCATGGAACTACTGGAATTCATGGAACTGTGGAATTCATGGAACTACTGGAATTCATGGAACTGTGGAATTCATGGAACTACTGGAATTCATGGAACTACTGGAATTCATGGAACTACTGGAATTCATGGAACTGTGGAATTCATGGAAGTTCAGAATAATTGAGGATCTTGAGAGTGAGGATGAGGATGAGGGTGAGGGTGAGGGTGAGGGTGAGGGTGAGGGTGAGGGTGAGGGTGTGAGTGAGTTTGAGGGTGAGGGTGTGAGTGAGTTTGAGGGTGTGGGTGTCTTGAGAATGTATGGGCGTCAGTATGAAAGCGTCACTCGAGGGTGGTGAACGATGGAGAGTTTATCTGTCATCATGAATTCCACAGTTCCATGAATTCCACAGTTCCATGAATTCCACAGTTCCATGAATTCCACAGTTCCATGAATTCCACAGTGTCATCAATGTCGTTTGTTTTACACCCTAAGAATTTATCATGTAAAGACTGACCGACATCGATACGCTGTTTGTGTTGTAATAGAGGAAAAATTCCAAAAAATATCAGAATTCTAGAATTTTGGAACAGGGACACGTCTCTCGATTGACAGAAGCAAACGAGAAGTCATAGAAATAATTCAAGGACGTGTTTACTCTAGTTCTACAATGTGAAAAAGATATTGTTGTATGTGTAACATACCACAATGATCTGGAAATCCAGCGAAAAGAAAAAGTACCTACTTCTCTATTGACTAAAGTGTCAAACTATTTGGAAGTTCCCATTTTAATACGTTGGTGAAGTAAGCACCATATTCGAGTAAAAGCTTTCCATATTCGTTTACGAATGCGTTCCGGCCGTTTCAATCAGCGTTCCAAGTAGAACTCAACGAGCTCTATCTAGTGGTATGCTCAGTTTTCCCATAATTCGAGCTTTTATTTTTAGGCTTCTAATAACGGCAGTACTGATTCGAAAAACCAAAGTTGGGACTAGGTCGCAACTGAGCATACCACTAGATAGAGCTCGTTGAGTTCTACTTGGAACGCTGTTTGGAACAGTTGGAACGCATTCCTGAACGAATATGGGAAAGCTTTTACTCGAATATGGTGCTTACTTCACCAACGTCATTTTTAATGCGATTTCCAGCCAGGAGACCTGATGTTTGAACCATCTCGTTTGTTCTACTATTCAAATTCGCTCATAATGAAAATAGCTAGTGAAGGCACTCATAGAAATGTACAATAAAACCTTTAATATGTAACTATATATACTCATTAAAATTGTTTTTCTTTCCAACTTTTTTTCTTCTTTCTCTCCGATACTACTAATTTTCACTTCGCAACCGTCAAAACAAAAAAAATGCAGCTTAGAAAAACTACATCTCTTACAGAGGAATTTTTAAAAATTATCTTTTATCAAGTTTCGAGCCAAAACCTATCTATTTGAATCATTATCTTCATTTTCAAACCAATTTGTAAATAGATATGTTTCAACATATAAACCGATGATTTCCAATGTCGGTTTCTGCAGAATTGTTATGTTGCTAGATGAAACTTGTTTCTCTCATTATTTTTCCTTTTCTTCTCTACCGTTCAGTAATTTGTTTGTATGATGCGATTGATTTTAAATGGCTTTGTGTTCTATTTTATTGAATAAGCGTTTCCCAGACGAGTAGCTGCCTAATTCGACTTATAATATAAGTGACGAATTCCTACCACCCTTAGGAATAGACATAGATTTAGTTTTACTTATACATGCATACCCCCACACCCCTGTGAGTTTAGGAATAGAAATAGATTTAGTTTTACCCATACATATATACCCTCACCCGCACCCTGAACCACACCCACTGCGGCACCCTCACCCTCGAGATATCCCCGTGTACACCCACCGCGGTACCCTCAATAGAGATATATCCCCTGGTGTGGGTGTGGGTGTGTATATGCATAAGTAAAACTAAATCTATTTCTATTCCTCAACTCACAGGGGTGTGGGGGTATGTATGTATGTATAAGTAAAACTAAATCTTTTTCTATTCATATCTACTCATTTGTTATAAGTGTGATATACACTGAAAAAAATATCCGCCGATTAATATACCCCTTAAAGAGTTTATCAGAGTGCAACGGAGGACAAACCCTTTTAAACGTTTTTCAAAGTCCGATAAACTCTTATACATACCCTTTCATCCAGTCAAAAAAACCGTTTTTCAGGCGATAAAATCGTACATCAACCGGTTTATCAAAACGTTTATCATTTTGAAATACTGATTAACGGTTTGGCCTCCGTTGCACTCTGATAAACCTTCCCAAAGGGTAGAATAAAATCAAAAACCAATTATTTTCACATACTTATCCGTTTATCGATACATATATTATCTTGAAGTACCTTGGCAATACAATTCCTAACCCCTTCTCTGAAGCGTTTAAGAGTTGCATAAACCCTTGAAACATTCAGTATTGGGTATTGCACATGGTTGATCATTCCAATGAACCACCGACTGGTTCATCATTGGGTATGGCACACCGTTGATCACTGGAATGAACCACCAATGGGTTCATTCATTGGTATTTCAGTTGGCTGATCAGTTGAACGAAGGGGCAGAAGAGATTGGCATAGTGTCTTGAATTTGTTGATTGACTGATATGGACAGTGTATCGTTTTTGGTTGATATTGCGATGTGTTTGCGATAAAGAGTGGTGAGAACGATGCCGGTAAAACTAAAAAATTGTTGATGTAAGGAAGGAATGAAAAAGACTTACCTTGGAAGACGACCACGATTGAATGGAAAGGAATAAGTTTTTTTGAATTTGATAAAGGAGTTGTTTGATTGATCCGATGATATGTTTTTAAGTGGTTATTGGCAAAAGTTGCGAGCTGTGTTATTGCGTGAGATGTGTTCATATAGTGGGAAGATGTTGGTAGTGGATGAATAGTACTGAGATCGGAAGGTGTACCTAAAGAATCAAGAATAATAGAAGTGTCTGTTTAATTAAGAGGATGAAAGGAGAAAAATTTGCGCACAAAAAAAGCAAATCACGCAATTGATGTTGAATGTTATTGTTTAAATTATGATAAAGGATATTTTGCTTTGAGGAAATGAGAAGAATTTTGAATATAAAAAGAAAATTCTACTTTAAGAACGGAAGGATTCTAACTATAATAATGATTTTTCGATTGAGATTATTCGAAGGAATAAAATGCTGTAAACTTTCCGAAGTTCATGATAAAAGAGACGTGTCTAGATTTGTAGTTCTGTTCATGATGTGATAGGCACTATTAAAGATCTGGAAAGTTAAAATAATTGAATAGATTTAATCTAGTTTCTTGTTGAACATTGGACATGTTATCAGGACAGTGACTAAAATAAAAGCTGGTAACCATAGCTGAAGGATATATATCTAGATAAATGGATGGGCGACAGTGTGAGGGGCTACACAGGATATAAAACTGAATCAATGCATGATTTTTATCTAGCTGTGGCTTAGTGGAAGAATATTACTGCTAGGAGAGAAATTATCACCTGTTTATCTTGTTCGTCAACGTATAGGAATCAATTGATACACGCTATGTGAAAAAAGGAATATACTACTCACCATGTTGTTTTTCGTTGCGCGTATTTAATATTGAACAAATGATTAAGCATAAAATAACATCGGATCGAAGAGATCGGAGCAAAATGTAATCCAATTAACGTTGTGGTTTTTCTTGGAAGTATAACTAGGAAGAAGAAGAAGAAGAAGAAGAAGGAGACGGAGAAGGAGAGAAATTTTGAAAAGAACTCTGACTTACCGCGTCGACCTTGGATTGAAACCAAAGAAGATGAATAACCAAGAACCAGTGTGAAAATAGTGAACAATCATTGATAATGATTGAATTGGAAAAGCAATTTTGTGCGTAATACGATGTTTCATAAATTTAACACAATAATACTGAACAAATGAAAAACAATTTTAGAAAATTCAATAGCACTGTTAAAACAACCTAGCTCTTGTCGAAGCTTCTCTTGAATACATTGGCTAGAAAAACCAGTTGATAAATATCTGATGCGAAACGTTCGAAGTGAGTTGGTTAGTTGATTGATGAGAGATCTTCTGCCAGTATTTATCATATGAATGAATGATTGGCTGAGATAAATGCAATCGAGTAGAAGAAAGTAATAAGTACAATGTATGAAATCGCTTAGATAATAGTTGACATAAGTTAATTTCGACTCATATAACGAGAAATGCTTCATTAGTGAGATCGATTTAACTGTATTTTGTATTAAAATGAGAAACATAATGATATGCAAGAGAAAAAAGTAGAAAGAAAATAATAAGACGAAGAGACAATAGATCAAATGTCACAAAGCTTCGAGGAAAAGAACGAGAGAGAAAAACGCTCTAATTGGACATATTGAACATAGAAAGAATATTAAGCACGTCGTTTACGCTTTGAATGACGCAATGAAACACTTGAATTTGTAATGTCATTCATTGGAAGTCGATCTACTGATAAAAGTTCGTGATCGTCTCGGGTATCAATCTCTTCGTCTTCAATAACACTTTGCTTTCGTTTTCGTTTCTCTTTGGCTTGACGTTGAATAGGATTACGACTAAATGATGATGTATTCTCATCGTTACTGGCGTATCCATATAAAAAAGTAAGTTAAAAAAAGATCAATTAATTATGAGAACACAACTCACTTATTTGCATCAGACTCCACAACCGTACTTGAACGACGATCTTTAGCTAAAGTTGCTTGTTCTTTTGCTAGACTGGCGACAGAAGTATGTTCAGCAGTGGAACCATCGGATACGTTTATTTCCATTTGTGTTCGAGTTACAGGTGTAGTATCAGTTGTTATCGGATTATTTCGAAGAGAATTGCAAGACATTGATGGTAATTGTGGTGGTTCTCGTTGAATATTGATATTTTTCTCCTTAATTAACACTCGAACCGAATTTGAGAGAAATTGCTTGTCCCCGTGCAACACACAATACAACAAGCGGATTGTCCGACTTTTCTTGTCAAACGACAATTCGAAAATCGTATACATCGAAATGAGAAGAGCCACAGCATCGTCCGGCGAGTTTGTCGATACGATTGGAAGAAAATCAACGTATACATAAATTAAATCATCAATACACACCAATGTCGGATACGGTGTTGGAGGTTCCTAAAAATTAATTGTTATGAATATGTCTAATGATAAATAACAAATAATCTTAGGAGTATTGCGATTCCTTGGACATATTAGATTGCAATTTTTCAACTCGATAGTAACCAGATATCGCAGCTATTGAAAAGATATGTCGATATAAGTTTTGAACGTGAACAGTTCCAATGAATAAAGATTATGGAACAAGTGGAGGAGGCAGACGAATCAGAAAGAGCCCAGAATCGATTGGACTAACTATATCTTTTAAAAGATGTGTAAGTTGAATTCTTATTTGTATATCTTTGCTCATTAAAGTCAATCATTTATTGATTAACATTAAATCAAACTAATCCTCGACTTCTTGCTATACATTTTTCAGCATAGGAAATAAAATTTACTTTATCGCAAAATAAGTGTTGAGTAGTTTCCCCAAACAATTTACATAAAGCTTTGATCAATCTAATCGGAGGCGAATCTAAAAACATATGTTGTCGATTAATATATGTTTAGCATTGTTAACTCACCAGTGACAAACACAGGAGTTTCGAGTAATTTGTCCACCAAAATAGGAATTTGTCGTCGAACTTCGCTACTAAGATCAATGTTTACCAGCATTCTCACTTCCTCGAAGATCTAAAATAAGAAAGGAAGTTTTTATGTAAAGAAACAATTCATTGTAAAATAACTCACAAAGAAGTCATTACTGTAAGCCGGAAACTGTTTCAAAATATCATTTGTTGATCCAGCTCTTACACTTTGTCGACGAAGAGCAAACGTCTCTCTCCACAAACGCAACTGGGTACTGTGATCAAATTGTGACAAGTTTTTCAATTGTTCAACTTTTGTGTCCATATCATTCGAAATTTCGTCGTACGGAATCAATACCAACTACAAAAAGAATATATAAATATGTGATATTTCATTATTGATTACCTGTTTGTGTTTATCGCGTTCGGCAACCTCTCCTATTTTCTGTTTGACTGGGCGTCCAGATCCGAGTTTTGAGTATTTTAACCGAACTTCCTGAACAAGATCACTGCTTGAATGTTGAGTACGTGTCCGCTTCAGCTTTGTCTGTAAAGCATCTTTCCATATTCCCTTAGATAGAAAAAAAGCAAATATTATTTCCCAATGAATATATCGATTTACTAAATTTTCAGTTGTCACAGCCAATTCCAAACATTTGACCAGAGCAGTTCCAATTGTATGATATTGTGCTTTTGATGGATATCTAGGAGGACGAGTTAAGAGTAAGGCAGACTGCAAAAGTCTACACTTGTCGGATAAGCTCTTGTGGATGGTTAAGTCTTCATTTCGTGCTGACTCATCCGTTTAAAAGTAAAACGTCAATTAAAATCGAAGAAAAAGCTACTCAACACTATGAACTATCTTTAGTTGAGAATTATATAGCGAAGATAATGTTTCTCTAACGACCAATTTCTTTTGTTAGAGTTCTTTCAATAATAATTATTGACAATAAAAGTGTACAAAGAAGTTTGTACTGAAACTTTCTCGTCAAGCTCTGATTAGAAAGAGCAACGAATAAGCGCTACATGTATCATTACATGCGCAAAAACTACGCATACGTACTTTGACGTAACAAACGGTTACTTACAATAGATTGTAGTTTTCAATAAGATCATGGACGACCGCATCAACTAATATCTGTCGACCTTGGCAATGTGGACGAAAATTCGTGAGAATTCCAGCTTCGATATCTTTCGTTAGAACATTTGGCAACGGTGGAACTTGATAATCATCGGATAAAGGCGAAAGTGCGTCTGGATCACGAAAAGATCGATGAGATATTGAGTTATCATCGGATGTTAATGATAAATTAATAGTTGTTGTCATGAAAGTAGAAGCCGATGTTATTGGATTGGTCGAAGCAATAGGTGTTATTTGAGAACTTGTGGAAATAGATTGCGATGTTTTGGATATCGAGGATGCATTTGAATTATCATTTATTTGTTGAAATAACTTTTCACGTTCTTCTAGGAAGATTAGCTGCTGCTTCAGCTTCGGAATAATTGACGATATTCTCTCCACACTGTTAAGCATTTTAAGCATCGCACCATCTACATCGTGCTCTAGAGAAAGAAATGAAAAGCATAATGAATAACGTAAAGATGACAGAAACAGCGTTTTTAAAAGAAAATGAAGACAGTCCGATCAAGTGTCCTTGGTCATCTAAGAAAACAATAATGTAAAAAGAGTTCGAAACTATTTCAACCGCAAAAAGACGCGACACACAGTCAAAAGATAATCATAAACGGTTACTTATTAATGAGTCTTAATCAATGTCTTCTTTTTTTCGCGTCTTGTTTTTCTACTGAATGTTATTTTAGAGCAGAAAATCACTAATCCATTTCGGACAAAGGTTGCAACAAAATTTATAGTGAAATAAGTGTTCGAAATATGAATTAACTAATTGCTAATGCCAGGTAAGACGAGAAACAAACGAAACAAAGCTCAAGTCGTTCACGACGTAAACATCCAATCCTTTGTAATAGTATTTCAGGTCACTTGGATCAATAATAGAATAGTGATCCATCGATTGTATCTGCCAAGAAGAAAGTTTTTCATTGTACGACATTATATCAAGCATATCAACGAATAGCCACCATTTTTCTTTCATTTTCAAAATAAATATGATTTGAGCAAACGACGGTTGCTCATGAGATGGTTGTAGATCAACCACATACACACAAGATCGACGATATTCAATGTACTCATAAACTAATGCATTACATTGAAAGACATTGTCAAAATCAATTTGATCGAAATGTTTCACTAAAAAATTTCTCATTGCTAAATTGAAACATGTGCTTCGAATCTTTTTAATTCCTATTACATGCTGCAAGTGACGTAATTCAGGCAAATAACCAAGCTTTAAACATTGTTTTAAACGGTAACGTGTCACAAGCATCTTTGGTATGTTTTTAAAATTGTTTGTTCTATGGGTTATCTTCTTGAAGTATGCGTGAAATCCTTCATAACGGAAACACCACTGTCTAACCGCAGGACCGAAATCAGTCACCATCTGATGATATTCGCGAATGAAATGAACTTTTGGCGTAATCAAATCTGGAAAATGATTCAGCATTTCGCGATAAAATGTGTCGCATAATTCACCAAGTACAGGTAACCATGCTTTACGAAAAGGATTTGCCAAGACCAAATATAAGATTTCTCTTAGTAACTTATATACGATAAATGATGGTAGATTATCAATAATGTCGTAGAAAATGACAGGAAAAAGCTTGAAAAAACAAAGCTTCTGAGCAGCGGTTGCAACGATATGATTATTTTGAAAATGTTTCGCGAGAACAGGGGGTGGCCGATTGGCACAATCAAATCGTCCATATTTGAAAGTTTCCATTCGTTCTTGAGCACGAGCTTAAATACGAGAAGAAAATAGCTCAATTAGAGGCACATTCACAATCGCTCAAAACAAGATGGAAGTGCTTAACCATGCGTTCCCTGTAGAAATCAAATATCACTCAAAAATAAGATAATCTAAGTGAATTATAAACCCCTAATAAAATAATTTTTCTTTTAGCGTATTGATTAAAACTGAAATAAAAAGAATCCTGTCGAAATCTTTTTTCCGAAAATGTCTAATGATATACTGTGAACTTATAGAAATCCAGAGAAACGCAACTCTTTAACTGTATAAAATATAACACAGAACGATCTATATAACCTGAGGGAATCCATCATGGGTGTATGAAAAGTAATGAAAAGTCCTCACTGTAGGTCAAAAGACGTGATGATGAAGCTTGTTGAGTAGGGCCATGATGACCATTGGCACGACTCCCTCAATGAAGTCGTGCATAGCATCTCGTGGTAAAGATGTAGTTGCGTGGAAACCGATAAGATCTTGTAATGGACTCGGTCCTGAAACACCTCTGAGAGGTGTTCTATTTGGATCACTAACGATCTTTTGAACGAGATCATCATGATCGATCATTGTTCGAGTTTGGATTTCTGACTATGGTATCGGCAGATTCTTCTGTGGATATGTTATGTAACACTTTCTACAGAAGAATCCACCATTGAAGCACGATTGAAAAGCACCTATGTAATGTGATGCAAGGTTGTCCACGACGATTGTAGAAAAAGAAAATTTGAGATGAATATCATTGATAGAGAGACCAACAAGTTGTAACTGATTGAGATTGTCAATTATCGGTTTAAAGAAGCGTTGAGCTTTGATATCATTCTCAAACAAAGAAAAAGAAAGTTACAAACACATCGATTTTCTATCTTTTCTGAACGAAGACCACTAAGCTTCGACCTTAGCAAAGATTTTGATCTATAGATAATAGCGCTAAGCATCGTTGAATGGTATTACACCGGTACTGACAAAACAAATTTTCTCGTTTGTAGACTCCTGAGGACAGTCTTAAGTTCATTTCGTAAAATATCTTTACTTTCAGAATTTTGCTTTCGCAAACAGCACCTAATTGAATAAAGTCAGTTTTCGATCTATATCTGTCAGGCACATCTTCAAGCGAAAAGTAAACCATCGACATTTTGTGTTTATCCCGTTTGGAGCCAAGAGGATTTGTTAAACCAATATCGTCCAAGTACAACTGAACTAGTAAACTATCTTGATCTATTCTGTTGCCGTAGGATCCGTCACGAATTGAGAACATTAGGTCATCATCATTTTCTACACTTAATTGCTGTTGATGAATGTTGTCTAGAATTTCTAAAACAAGTGGCGAAGACTTCAACATAGCTTTCAATGTTGTATCGAACGGAATAAAGTAAGCATACTCCGGCACTCCATCATTAGATGACAAAGCTATCTCCTCTGCCGAACTATATCCGAAATACTTCTCGCAATTTCTGACAAATTGATAATCATTCTTACTAACAGATTCGATTTCAACACGTATGTTATTTAATGTTAGCTGCACTTGATCAAATTCTATAATTTTCCGATCTCGTTTTGGTACAGAAGATGTTGAATGTGAAAAATCGATTTGAGAAGGATAAAAAGATTTTTTTTCGAATATGTTCTCTAAATGTTGGATGAAAGTGGTGATGTAGGTCGAAATAACATTCGTAACCGTCTTCGGTACCAAATATTCCTCGCGTAATTGTAACAGAAACAAGATATAAGATTTTTTCATAATCGCTAATAGTTCAGCAAAGGTTGCACGGCTATCGATCAGACCAAAAGATGTCGTAGGATTGTTAAATTTCATGCTGGAATCACCATTCATTAAGTCCGGCATATCAAGATCAACATCGTATATATCAAACGACTCATCATCGTTGCTCGTTACTTCTGTACTATAATCGGAATGCTCTATATTTGTTTGTTGTTGATTATCAGCAGAAATAAGAGTGATATTCGTATCGAGTTTGCCTTTGGCATAAAGTTCAGATGAGTGTTGTCGATAGACGTAAGACTTGTAAGCCGAATATGTTCGGTATAATACCCCGCATGTCTCATGTAAGTCACATGTCATATTGAAACTCGGTTCATTCTGGTGATAAAGCGCGATATGGTGAAACATTCTACCAAAATTCGCGAAACCACGATTCGTCAAACAAAACGGACAAACGAATGTAGACATTGAAACGTTGAAAGTCAGAGTTATATCCGGATTTAAACTAACTGTTGAATGATTGTATAAACAAAATACGGATAGTATTGTCTTTCTCTTTAGTATACGGGTGAATGTAAGAGCGAACGCACCAACAGAAGCATGGCGATGAAAAATGATTGGATTATCGAAACTGTAAACAAATGCATTCTTTTCTTACAAACAACTACATATGTTTACTTTAGTGCGAAAGAAGCTTAAAAGAACTCGCACCCACAGAGAAATTAGCGAGTGTCACTATGCATTAGAGACATAAGAATTTCTATTCTAATATAAACATTTGATAGTGGCGTCAACACAAAATGAGTCATATTTGACTAAGAAAACATGCACTCCTGAAATACATTAATACAACCAGACCTTCGAATTGAGACAAAATTGTAGTGTCATCAATAAATGATTTGCACCAGTCCATAACTTGTTCGCACGTCCAATTCATGATTTGATAGAAGAAACTATCTAAAATGATGGACTCGAACAGTCTATGATTACCAGAACAAAAACTGGTTAGAAAGATGCGAAAGGCTTGGAGCGTAACACAGCTAAACTGAAAATTCTCTTTCTTCAATAGAATAGTCCATTAATAATAGTTATATACACGGCATCTATAGTGATTGAATTGGCCCATAGATGATGACGTTGTCCTTTAAGATTTATGATAGTGGAGCGAATGAAAACTCGATTACTTAAACAATAATGCCTCGTATTGTAACGTAAAATATTTTGAACATATCATATAGCATGCCGTCATTATCAGCATTCCTACTGTCGCGAAAATAGATTTTACAATGAAACTGAGTCTTCGGTCAAGCGTGATGGAGTGCTGAAGAACTAATCAACATCAACTAGAAAAAAGTGGATCTATCCAGAGGTAAAAAAGGTTCGCATCCTTACCACCACAAGCTCTTCGAACGAATATATACAAGCATGCAGCTTGGTCGAAGTACACTGAAATTTTAGATACAGATAAACAAATTATAAACTCTTGTCATCATTTTGACAGCATTCAACAACTTTAGTAAGAGAAAGATTACCCGTCATCCACATTAAGATAAATCCAACAGTGTTCTGAAAAGATGATCACAGCTTCATCTAGACGATCATATCTTCAAACTGAAAACGAAAAAGAAGAGCGTTAGTCAGGAATATAATGACCTTTTGAGCAAAAGTGAAACGATAAATGTAAAACAGTATAACAACATATTTTTATCTCAAACAATACCTGACTTGTTCTTAAACATCCAAAACTACACGTATAGCTTACATTCGCGTCTGAGAAACTTGTTTTTCATTTTCGTAAGCTGTGCATTGTGATAGATCCTTCATCTCAGAAAATTTCTAAACAATAAGTTCTTGACTCTTCGATTCCTTCCATAACTCTTTCAGCTGCTCTTTCATAAAATTCGTAGGCGTCAAAGTTAATTCTCATATAAATCTTTTCAGGATGCGAGATCATGAGCCAGTCGTTGAAAGGTAGACGATGGTCAACCCTAATCCGTCCTATAATAAACGATTGATCGGAAGGCAGATGATGATCAACCCTCCTTCATGCATTGATAAACCCTTTGTGGAAAGGCAAATGATGGTCAACCCTCCTTCGTATAAAGATAGGCACTAGGACAATTCGTCGCGTGACTATTCGTCGTCAGACAATTCGTCGCAGACTATTCGTCGTCGGACAATTCGTCGCATAGACAATTCGTCGCAAGACAATTCGTCGCAATGTATTGTAATTAATGTGAATCATATTCTGATTCTTTTCTTAATTGTTTTAACTTAATTTGTAATCTAGTTACTGAATAGATGTTGATTTCGGATAACTGTGTTAACTTTGGAAAACTAAAACCAATTTTTTCGTTGACATCTTGAGAAGATTAAGGAAAACAGGTCAATCTAAAGATTTTATATAAAACGATTCCGAAAACAGAACACTTTCACATAAACTTAACGACTATTACTCTCTATTCAAAAAACAATGAACATAATGCAAAGATTAGAAAGCGAAAAAGGAGAACCAATGCTTGGTTATGAAGGTTACATTTACACCAAAGAACGTAAAACGGAAGAAAAAATTATCTTTAGATGTCAAAATCGCCTGTGTAAAGGTAAATTAAATTGAAAAAAGATTTTGATTAACTTTTTGTATTGATTAGGTCGTTGTCATACTGATCCATCTATGACCATCTTCATAAAAAAACCAAGCGCACATTGCCATGGACCATCTATTGATCAAATTCCAGTCATCGAATTGAAAAACAAAATTAAAGCTCGAGCTGTTATCAGCGAAGGGCCAACAAGTACTATTTTATTTTCTGAACTAAAATCTTTTTCTTTAGATGCAGCTGCTCCATTACCTAAAATGGCAACACTTCAAAGAACAATCCGTCGACAACGTGAAGCACCAACAACAATGGACAACCGAATATCTGACGAATTGAAGAAAACACACCGTGGCGACAATTTTATTTTACACGAAGACGATAAATTAATTATTTATACCACGAGCTCGAACTTATCAGTATTGAAGATATGCAAACATTGGTTTGCGGATGGAACTTTTAAAGTAAGAAAAAAGAGAAAATATTATCGTGTTGATAAACTATTTCTACTATAGGTTTGTCCGGACGATTTTTATCAATTATTTACATTACATGGTTTATTAAAATCGCAAGTTGTTCCATTGGTTTATGGACTACTTATAGGAAAGAGCGCATCTGATTATAGTCAATTCTTTAAACGTATTATGGAAGAAGAAGACTTTAATCCAGATTCAATATTGACTGACTTCGAGTCTGCTACAATAAATTCAATTAAATCATTATTTCCAAATGTCTCACATAAAGGTAAAAGTAATATGAAAAATGAACAGTGAAAAAAATTTGTATATTCATTCATTTAGGTTGCTTATTTCACTTCGGTCAGTGTATTTGGCGAAACATTCAAAGTCATGGACTACAAAACAAGTATCAGGCGGATAAGTCATTCCATCTAAATAT